GGCGTGTGCAGGACGAGGACGCCTTCGTGGATTTCGAGGCGGAGCTGATCTCTGACGAGGTTGCGGCGAGGGGCGCCTGATCTGGGCCGTCTGACCTCCGGGCGCCGGCTGGGCAGGGGGATGAAGAAGGGGGCGTTGGGCGCTGTCAGGGCGTCTGGCAATCTTTGAACTCACTTCTTACCTACTTTGATTGATCCGAGTTTGTGACAACCGCATAGATCATTCATTGGTGTGCTAATGAAAGGCATGCACGGCCCGCAGCTACAGTCAATGTTGATGGACAGCGGCAGCCGCCGGCTTTTTGGCTGGGATACAGACAAAAGGACATTCCCGATCTGCGGCCATGGCTGATGGGAGCCGCGCCTGCTGCTATGCATCGACGATTCGGTTACTCTGGGGGCCGTCAAAAGCCTGGCTCTGCAGCATGCCGCGGGTATGTACAGTGCAGTGTCGACCCGGCACGCTCGATGTGTCGCCGCGGACGCGCGCGTCTCCTTCGTGTTTCACAATCGTCACATGCTCATCAGCGCATTGCAGCAGTCACGCCATATATCGTTGGATCACAGCACCCCCGCACTGGATGTCTTGCGGACGACCCCACATCCCCACGACCTAACACAACCCCACAGCGACCCGACGACAGCGGGGCACCAAGACTCCCCGCCATCCTACCGCGTTCGAAAGCGCGGCCGGCCTACAGTTGTGCAGAAAAGATTCGCGGCGCGAGCGCTGAACGAGGCCGCCGGCTGGTCCCACGCCCTCGTTTCTCACGGGCTCGTCTGCGTCCGCCGCGGGCCGGGCGGCGGGCCCGGCCCGCCGCAGCGGCGGCCACTGTGCTGGACAGGTGTGCATCAAATTCGCGGATCCCCGGGCGGGCCGGCACGCGCGCATGCAAGCGCCACCAGGGCGGCGCTCGCGCGCGCGTGCCGGGCGGCCCTCTCCCGTTCGTCGCGCGCAGCTAACTCGAAGCTGCAGGGGTGCGAAAAAACGCGGCGCGGCGCGGCGCGCCCCGCGCGCGTGCAGGCGTCCAGGCTCTTTTGGAGTGGCACGGCTAAGCGGCGGCCGGCACAGGAGTGTGGCACGAAAGCGCGGCGCCGGGGGGCCGCGGGGCGGCCGGCAGCGGGCCGCCCGGCGGCGGGGGGCGGGTTCGAGGCGCGCGCGTGTGGCGAGGCGAGGGCGGCGGTTTGCTGGTAGCCAGCGGATTGGAAGGGAATACCAGCAGACCGTGCACAGGTGTCCTCAGGAATACAGATCTGGTATCAAAGCTTGGGAGGGGGGCCCGAACTACTGCTTTGGTGTGGTCAGGCAACGAGCGTCGCTCGACGGGCAGCATACAGGCCAATGCTAAGTAAACATTCATGTATGCTTTCCAAACGCGCGCAGCCATGCAACGACGCGCACGCGAGGGCCCCGCCCGCGCCCTGTGCGACGGCCGGCGCCGGCCGCGCGGGGGCGGGGGTTACTTCAGGGGCCCGGGGGCCGCGGCGTGTTTCGGCTTGCCTTGTGTGAGCGGGGCGGGACGTGGTGGCGTAATAGAGTTGGTGGGGCGGGACCGTTCTTGGTGGGGGCGGTGGGGAGGCAAAGCCGGGTGAGACCTGATCCGATACAGAGCAGTTAGATAACGTGACAGCAGCAGCGGCGGAACGGCAGAGTTGACCAGCGGGGCGCAAAAGTCAAAGGCGCGGGGGCGGCGGTGCTTGCTTGCTTGAGGGGGGTTCGTGGCAGCCGGCCGGACGCATGCGTTGGGTGACGTAACGAGGGGCATGAATACGTATGACATGCCAACAGACCAAACCGAGTTGGAAGCATTACCCTATACAGAGGTATGCCCTCGAGCGCAAGCAGCGCACCCTGGTGCCGCGGCGCGGCGCGGCGCCGCGGCCCCTGGGCGCGGCATGCTGCTGGTTTATTGCGACAGGCCGCGCGGTTCGGCGCGCGCCAGGAGGGGAGAGAGACAAACCACCTGCCCAGTTAGCCAACACCCACTGGAAATATGCAGAGAGGTAATAACCCTGGCGGGCGTGGCCCGGTGGAAAGCTGCAGTGTTGTTAGTAATACCAGACGGCCTTGCCCCCCCTCCAGATTGGAGGTCCGAGCCGACAGCGCGCGCGCGCACGCTCCGCGGGCGCGGCGCCCCGCCACGATCAAGGGGTGGGGCGCCGGCCTGGCACGCACACGCGCGCCTGGCACGCACGATGCGGGCGCGCGCGTGTCGGGCGGGGCAGCGGGCGCGCCCTGGGCGCCGCGGCCGGCGGCGCCCGGGCGTTGGAGTGTCGGCCGACGGCAGTGAAGGGGAGTGCTAAGTATAGAAAGCACTCGTGCAGGTCCTGGGTCAAGGCAGCCTGAAGGCGCCACCGGCTCTTTTTTCGCGCGGGGCCGCGCGCCGGCCGCGTCTCAGCAGAGGGAGCTGGTCAACGGCAAGCCCCCGCGGCGCAGGCGCGGGCGCGTGCAGTCGGGGCCGGGGCCCGCGGCGTGCGTTCTGGCGCGGCGGCGTGCGTTTTAGGAAGCTCTCCCGGGGATCAGGAAGGATCCGCAATTTATTGCGCGCCGCCACGGGGCGCTGTGGCGCTGTGCTTGCAGCCCAGGGCCCGCGGCCCAGGCCGGCGCGGCCGCCGTGCGTGTCGCGCGGCGTGGGCGCCTCATTCCGCGCGCGCGGCGGGCCAGTAGTCGTGGCGCAGCGAAAACGCGATGCGGTCCTGCAGGAGCTCTGGTGTGAACTTGACCATGTGCTCAAGCACGCCGCAGCACTCTGACCAGTGGAGGGGCCAGGGGTAGGCGAACGCGATGACCTGGCGACGAGGGGCGTAACCAGGCAGCGGGGTTGATTTTATTGATGTGTTTAGGGTTTAGACGGGCGGGGCCGGGCGCGGCGCGGTGGTGCGGAGGGGGCCAGGGCGGTTCGGCGGGTTGCTGCATGTCGGGGCGCGGGGATAAAGCGAGCGCCCACCTTTGCGAATTGGGCGGGGTGGAGGATCGCCCTCATCACCTGCGGGGGTGGGCGTGGGAGGAGGGCGGCCGATTTCTTGCCAGGTCGGCCAGAAGGCAGGCAGCGGGACGTGGCAGTGCGCGGCGAACGGCCCTGGGCGTGAGGCGAGGGCCCCAAGCACTGGGGGAGCGCCCTCTCTGTCAGCAGCGCAGTTTGCCCGCGCTGCCACAAACGCAGCCACCCCCATGCGCCACGCCCTGCGCGCGTGCTGGCATCTCCCTCTCTCGTCCCCCGTTCCGGATGCGGCCCCACCTGCATCGTCATCATCAGGGCGGCGCCCTCGCGCCTGACGCTGTCGGACAGCGCGGCGATTACAACCTCGGCCGTCGGCTCCTCAGACTGCTGTGCCC